CCCCCAGCATCTCCCCGAAGGAGCGGATCCATGATCAACCAGTCACGCACAGGGGTTCCAGAAAATATTTCTCTAACTGCCGAATCATAACTTCCGATCGAGACTGATGCATTGTCTACAAATAAAACCTAAATTGATTATTTAGCTATTTATGTGTGTTAAGACACAAACTCTCTGCTGAGATACGGCTTGGCTAGACATTAGGGCTTGTACCTGCTAAATCTTAGGAAAGTCAACTCTTTTCCGAAAATGCAAGTGTGTACTCAATGTTTGCGCCTAAGTAAAGCTGCTGTTTGCAGTGTTTAACAGGGACTTTTACAATGTATTATAATAAAACTATATATTTTTACGGAAAATTTTTATAAACCATATGCTGAAAGAACAAGGTTCACATTTGCCTTATTTGGCCCTGTGAATTTTTGAAAAACTGAAACTGCATAGTTTTAGTTAACAATGCATTGAAATATCACTTGGCATCTTTGGCTACTGGCGTGTCTATAAAGATGACGTAATTTTTTGGTTAGTCAATGCATTATGACGTCACGAAATGGGTCAATTTCCTCATATTCTGAAAAAGTATACAAAAACGGCCAATTTTAAAAGCTATTTTTAGATATTTGATATAGAGCGCAACCTCTGATCTAAAATGTGCAACTACTACATGATAGAACTATTTCTGGGTATTAAAAGACATGTTTTATTTTTTAGATCAGAGAGTGCGGTGATATTATTTTTCTTCATTGAGAGTACTCAATTATAACTGTTTACCCGAAAATTCAAGAATATTGCAATTTTATTACGCCAGTTCTCCACGACCTGGACTCCTAGGAGAAAATCTTTAATAAGAAATGAAAGCACAAAGTCTCTATTTTATTTTGATACTTCAAATAGAAAAACAAGTGTTAATCAATTAATTGTTATATCAACAGGGCCATTTTATTCATAAAGTGAACCGAGCTCTTTTGTTCATAATTATACAAAACAATTTCCGTTTTTTGCGCGATCGAATGGTAAGTATTAAGTTGCAATTACTTTTCAAAAATTAGCTATAGCTTCCAGTAACTTTTTTTTCTCCATGATTTAGTTTTGTTATAGCAATTAGCAAATAGCAGATAGCAAAATAGCAAATGGCAATTTGTGATAGCAATTAAATGCAGGGATATCTATTGAAATAAAACTGAATCTCTTTTGTCATTTTTTTTATTGTATATATTTAAAAATATTGAATTTGGTGAGGTACCTCTTTTTGCTGGTTACAGTGTTTGCCAAACACCACTATATATGGATGTCCCTGTTTTGTTCGAGAGCTGAACATGTGAATCATCTCTATCCATCTAATGATGAAATCTGCAGAACAATGAAAAAAGTTCATAATTAATATCTAGGTTTCTATAAGATGTCTCCGTACTAGTAACTGGAATCCCAGCGTGCGTCTTAGTGTAGCGGAACTGAAAGAATACCATGAATAACATACCTGACTCAAAAATTAAATTTTTGTAATGCTGATGATGTTAGAACTGGTACGATGGTCTGATCAGTTTTGCATTTACAAAGGAACTATTTTCGAAACTCTGAATGTAGGTTTTTTCCAACAAACCAAAACGGGTGAGTAACAGGACAAAATTGAACTTCAATACTACAAAATTAACCTCCTTAAATCTGCTCTAAACCCTCTTTAAAATCAATTATTATCCAGTGGTATTGCATGCAATCTACAGGTATACATACAGGTATACATACATACTAGTATACGGAATATGGTACTCAGAAGTCTATACCTAGTAGCGTTTTCTTCCTGTGTTGTGGACCTTTGTAAGATTCCTGCACGAGGTCTGTGGTTTTCTGGGCGAGGCTGTATATCAGGATGTATACTGGTCTCCAGTCCAGCAAGGACTTCCGGCCTTGAAACACGTCATTCTCGGAGCCCAGCTCTCGGATTCGGAGAGGATACAACTGATCTACATTCTTTTCCTGTGGCACACCGAGCTGACGGGGGGAAGGGGCTACTTCTACGCCCAGCGATCGGGGGGAAGGGGTTTCTTCTGGATCATAAATCTCGGGGGATTCGCCTGTTAAAATAAAATCTGTACTGACATTACCGGTTAAGTATATTGGATAAAAGAGCTTTGTCGCATGTACCTATTACCCAATGATTCTGATCTTTATAGAACGATATGTTTTCTTTGAATGAATACACAAAATCATATATGCAGGTAACGGCTTCAATGCACTGCCAATTCGCGAGTTTTGTCGTTTTCTTCATTTACTTAGTATCTCATCAACACGTACCTTCGGTAAAATCCTGTTTACGTGGACTTGCTTGTGGATGTGATCTATGAATATCTCGGTAGGATTCATTTGGTCTAAGTGATCTGTAAAAGGTTAGAAATATTGAAGAAATCGCCAATCAAATGTTCGTTTATATATTTGTCGAGGTTTAACTTTGATCTCACACCGTGTTTGCCTAGCTAGTGCAGTCCAAGATTTGAAGAAACTTTTTTCTTTGCTACATGTACCATTGACTACCGGTACTTCCATAAAATATTACTATTTCTGTCCTCTTATGATCTGGTATCCCTTATATTATTTCTTCCATAACCCCAGGGGCAATGATTTGAACAAACTTGAATTAATTCTATGGCAGGAAGCTTTCATGAGTTTCATTTTTCTTGGATATGTTACCCCCCGGTATTCGGCGCGATTTTTCAAATGACTCCAACCTTATCTTTTGTTATTCCTTGATTAAATTATCTTTTCAACGAGAAGTGGTCCTTTGTACAAAATTATTCCCTTTACAAAAGATGAATCTGTTCTATCTGTCTGTGTTGTATGGGGTGATTATAACAGTTCTACCTGACTGTTGTATTGGGTGTTTAAAACAGCTCTACCTGGCTGTGTTGTATTGGGTGTTTAAAACAGTTCTACCTGGCTGTGTTGTATTGGGTGTTTATAACAGTTCTACCTGACTGTGTTGTATTGGGTGTTTATAACAGTTCTACCTGACTGTTGTATTGGGTGTTTATGACAGTTCTACCTGGCTGTGTTGTATTAGGTGTTTATAACAATTCTACCTGGCTGTGTTGAACTGGGTGTTTATAACAGTTCTACCTGGTTTATTGTAGAGTGTTTATAACAGGTCTACCTGGCTATGTTGTATTGGGTGTTTATAACAGTTCTACCTGGTTTATTGTAGAGAGTTTATAACAGTTCTACCTGGCTGTGTTGTATTGGGTGTTTATAACAGTTCTTGTTGGCTGTGTTGTATTGGGTGTTTATAACAGTTCTGGTTGGCTGTGTTGTATTGGGTGTTTATAACAGTTCTACCTGACTGTGTTGTATTGGGTGTTTATAAAAGTTCCTGCTGGCTGTGTTGTATTGGGTGTTTATAACAGTTCTACCTGACTGTGTTGTATTGGGTGTTTTAACAGTTCTTGTTGGCTGTGTTGTATTGGGTGTTTATAACAGTTCTACCTAGCTGTGTTGTATTGGGTGTTTTTAACAGTTCTACCTGGCTGTCTTGTACTGGGTATTTATAACAGTTCTACCTGGCTGTGTTGTATTGGGTGTTGATAACAGTTCTACCAGCCACGTATAGAGATTTGTATTGGGGTGTTTTCCAGTTCTAGTGGAACAGGTAGTATAAATGTTGTATAGGAGGTATCTAGTCCCTCTGAAAAAAAACTTGAAATTATTATTATTTCACAAATTTGTTCAGTATTGTTTTTTAAAATTCTTAACAAATGTGTATTTGTATTTCACCTTTTTTCTTGATTGAATGCTTTCTTCTACCAATAAATATAGACACGTCTTCCTTTACATTTTTGTTTTCTCTTTTCTGACCCATGACCAAGCTTCTTATTAGTGATTTCGGTTCGGAGCCGACATGACCAATAACATTGATACTGACGTCACGTACAACAAATCGCCCTCTTTGCAACGAAGTACAAAAAACTTCTTGCTCATCGCCTGACATTTGCTGGATTTCCGCTGGTCAACCTATAATGAATCATTGTAAATAAAAGCAATATTGATTACTTTCTTTAACGGGGAAGAGGGCTCCATTATATACTTTTGAATTTTTTTTATGCGCCCGGATCGATAGATCTGAGGCGTATATTGTTTTTGTCCTGTTTTGTCTGTTTTATCTGTTTGTCTGTCTGTTGTCAACTTTAACCTTCGCCATAACTTTTGAACCATGAGAGATAGAGACTTCATATTCGGTATGCATACTCAACCAATGAAGCTCTTTCAAATGGCATCAAGGTCAATGACCTTGTGACCTTGACTGTGACCTATATGCTAAAAATAGCTTTTTCGAACTTTCGCCATAACTTTTGAACCATGAGAGGTAGAGACTTCATAATTGATATGCATACTCCACTAATAAAGCTCTTTCAAATGACATCAAAATCATGACCTTGTGACCTTGACTGTGACTTTTATGCTAAAAATAGCTTTTTAGACTTTTTGCCATAACGTTTTAAGCATAAGAGATAGATACTTCATATTTGGTATGCATACTTCACTAATAAAGTTCTTTCAAATGACACCAAGGTCGATGACCTTGTGACCTTGACTGTGACTTTTCTGCAAAAAATAGTTTTTTGAACTTTGTAACCGCCGGGCGCATAGTGTTTCACAAACACATCTTGCTTTATTGTATATTTGTACATTTAACGTCATTACATTCCGTGTTGACCTTGATGTACATGTAAGAATGCAACATGTCATGATCTCAAAGGTATCTTACATGTTTTAAGATTTTGTGTCATTACATTCTTCGTTGACTTCGACGTAAAATATTTCAAAAATGCAATAATCTCAGTTAATTACATTTTGTGTCGTTATTACATATTGCCTTGTGGCACAGCAGGTATATATGATAAAACATTTTAAAATACTGAGAAATAGATTGATTAAATAGAGCATTTTTTCGCTGTAAACATTGATTTTCCTATGGGTGGCTCTGTGGCTCTCTGGCTGACCACACCGTACTTTTAACAGATCGCCAGCTATATGTATACATACTTCTCTAGAATGAAAATGATCCAAAAAGTTTATCATCAAGAAAGTTAATTTCAAATCAAGCAACATAAAATAAAGTTTTGATAATGTACATTACGTAGTCAGTGTTGAACTAGTTGTGTCCTGCAAATTTCAGATTCAGCCTCCGGAGTAAGTGTGGGTATAGCTGCATTACCAGTGAAAATTTGGTTAGTGTTATACTTATGTTGTTGGGGAAAAGAACCTGCTCCGTAATCAATCTTGATTCTTATACAATGTAAACATGGTTATCTCATTTGAAACAACTTTGGAACCAATTTCTTATTCCATTCCCCATCTTTTCTTTCTTATACATTTACCTGTTTATTTATTTAACGCCCCTTTGAAAATTTATCTATTTACTCAATTATATATACTTAAAACAAAATAACGAGAACAGTAGAGGTTCGTTGCGTGGATGTAATCAAAGATTTTTAATTTTTTGATTACAAATCATGACCATCTGCATGGCCTTGAAACGTCCACAAGCTATGTATAGCCTTTTTAAAAATCAATGTTATATATGATTAAAGACAAAAGCATGAAATAGTGTACACATACTTTGAAAAACCTTTTTGGCCTCAATCTCTCTACCAGCCATAACTGCTCCTATAAGTGGCGCTTCCGCCGGCGCGTCTATGAAAATCGTGCTCCTTTTGGAGAATTTCCGTCTCATGCGGTCGCTTCAACTTCCAGTACTTTTTGAGAAGCCTCCGGTGATAATGACCGTCGTGGTTTTAGGTACTTGAAGATTTTCGAAGGCATGCTGAAGGTATTCTGTGACACTTTCTACAGGCTCTTTTAGGAAGTGCCACACAATTTTTTCATCAGCTGTCAGGCTGTTCTGAGACATGATGACTTTTTCACCGAATTTTGGATTTGGGGCAAACTGCTCTTCCTCTTGAAACGTTGGGAAGAACACTTTAAACCTTTTTACCAACAAAGGTGGAATTCCAAACACATACTTTCTAGTGAATTCCGGTGTCATATTGGACTTGCTCAGTTCAAATAAACTCATTAACTCCTGCATTTGTAACGGCAGGTAGTCCTCAAAGGCCTGGATAACATGCGAGCCAAGAACATTTCTCAAAAATTTTAAAAACTGTTTATCCAAACCTTGACCTCCGAAATTATCTGTATATTGGCACTCCTTCATGTTTATGGTTCCATTCTCGTCCACATCAAGTTTCACGACACTCACAGATGAACCTGTGAATAATATAATGTACAAATATAATAAACCCCAAAAATGCGTCGCACAAAGAGTCTTTGACAGAAAGTACGGTAGATTTCTTCCACAGTTGTATATTCGTAGTACCAATTTTATTGCCTTTAGTTGGCTGTCTAAGACAGTCGTATACAATCGTACCAATTTCCTTTGCTGAGGTATGTTAACAAAGACAAAAAGTTGGATGAAATTGAATCATTAGTTCTTGAGACTGAATATAAGTCCTACTTACCGCCGAGGTCACACACGCAGAGTTGATCTGTCTCTGGAATGTTTTTATCCTGATGGAGTATCTTAGCTGCAATCACTATTGCTTCTACTTCCGGGATAAAGTAGATTGCTTCAGTGTCAATGTTGGCCTGTTAGAATTTATAAAATAAAGACTTAAGTATGAAATCCAAATTCAAATATACCTTATTTCAATGTACATAAAAATCAAACTTAGAAAATCATATTTAAAGAAAAAAAAAGGTGAAAAAACAGAGGAAAAATATGAATGGACATGAAAAGACAAATAACGTTAGAAATTGTCTGTGAAAAAGACGAATTAAAGCTCGATTTGATTTTAAAAAAGTGGATTCAATAAATTTTAAGCTTTTTAAATTTTAATTTACTTAACCTTGCTTGCAGCAGATTTAAGAACTGACATCACATCATTCCTGGCTCTGACCGGAAGATTGAAGACCCAGCGAACATCGGCAGGTGATACAGACTCCGCTATATCCCCACATCTCTTAATCAGGTGATGGAGAAAGTACTGTAGAACACCAGAGAGTACCTCGGTCACGGCCAGGGATTGTTTGTTCCTACACGTTACATAATCCTGGGAAAATATTATTACTTTAATTCCATCAATAAGAGCTAGGTTAGCTTCACCTTCGTCCGGTAAAATTTTCCTGATAGCCTATTCTTTTTTTCTAATTTTCAACTTTAAAATCTCCTTCCTTATAGTATACATACATCTTTATGATTTTCTTGTATCATATTGATGTAGGAATATCTTTGGAGACAATAGCTGCCCGGGAAGTAAAGTCTCTTGGTGTACCCTCATTTAACAGATTGACGATTCTCCTAACATCAGTATTTCAGGAAATCATCAAAAATCAATGAATATGGAATAAATTACGTATGACGAGTGGATGAGACGTTTTGATTAAATTCATATATAACAGCTGTATATGAAGCCATTTTTTAATATTATATTACATGTACCAATATAGAAGGGTATACTATACCAGTCGAAATATAGTATGCCTCCAGAAAGAAAAGGAACCCATAGAAAGAAAGTATTCCCAACGAAAGTCAGGATAACCCCTATATGTCTTTCAGAAAAGAAAGACAGTTAACACAAAAAGAGAGAGCATACCCAATAAAAGGCCCATAGAAAGAAAGCATGTCCTCCTTAATAAAGTACGACTATCAGTAAAAAGAATACCTTAGTTATGAAAAACAGTATAGCCACAGAAAAAAGTTTCCCCCACCAAAATACAGTATATTGACTTGAAGGCAATATATACCTATCATTCATTCATATTACAATATCTAAAGGAAAAGGTTCTTTCAAAGCATGTAAATGAAATACTACTGCACTATATTTAATTATACCTGAGATTCTGTAAGAATTTTTTTGATGTTTTCGCAGTAAAACCAGGCTGGTGCTTCACCAGATTTCTGTAATTCCAAGAATTTCCGGTCTGCCTCGTTACCAAGAGAATGGAACTGTCTGTTGGGGCTTAAAAGGACACAGGCTTTTGTTTTACTGGAACAGTGTGGCCCCCATTCTGGAAAGTGTAAGCCCTTTGTACTTTCCCGTAGAAAGGTATAGCAGTAGCCAATGTAAGTCCCTCCGAAGTCCACAGCAGCTATTACCTTAGGCATGAACGCCATTATACCACCTGTAATAGACCATTATACCACCTGTAAGAGACCATTATACCACCTGTAATAGACCATTATACCCGTTGAAATTTAACCCTTTGCCTTTAATCGGCCTTTTTTTTTAAATTTTTCCCCTTTTTTTCT